CTGGGGCAGGGAGGGCGGTGCCTGTGCTCCCCCACCCCGGCTTTTGAGGGCCAGTTCTGGGCTCAGCCAGGCCAGGCTCCCCAGCCCTTGCCAGAGACACCCCCTCCAGCTGCTTGGGGGCAGATGCATAGAGCTAGGACACTCCTCTCATTCCTGGTCTGAAAAGGGCCTGGGGTTACAGTGGGTGTGAAACTGGAGATGAGTCAATAATGTGCCCGTGCCTGTGCTCCCCCACCCCGGCTTTTGAGGGCCAGTTCTGGGCTCAGCCAGGCCAGGCTCCCCAGCCCTTGCCAGAGACACCCCCTCCAGCTGCTTGGGGGCAGATGCATAGAGCTAGGACACTCCTCTCATTCCTGGTCTGAAAAGGGCCTGGGGTTACAGTGGGTGTGAAACTGGAGATGAGTCAATAATGTGCCCTTGTCGCCAAGAAGGCTAACAGCATAATGGGCTGCATTAGGAGCATTGCCGGCAGATCGAGAGAAATGATAATTCCCCTTTATTTGGCACTGGTGAGGCCACATCTGGAGTGTTGCATACAAGTCAGGGACCCCATTTCAGAAAGGATGTGGACGCATTGGAGAGGGTCCAGCGGAGGGCAACTAAAATGATTAGGGGGCTGGAGCACATGACCTATGAGGAGAGGCGGAGGGATTGGGGCTTGTTTAGTCTGCAGAAGGGAAGAGTGAGGGGGGATTTGATAGCAGCCTTCAACTTCCTGAGGTGGGGTCCCAAAGAGGCTGTTCTCAGTGGGGGCAGGCAGCTGAACAAGGAGCAATGGGCTCAAGTTGCAGTGGGGGAGGGCTAGGTTGGATATTAGGGAAACCTATTTCCCGAGGTGGGTGGGGAAGCGCTGGGATGGGTTCCCTAGGGAGGGGGTGGAATCTCCATCCCTAGAGGTTTTTAAGTCCCAGCTTGACAAAGCCCTGGCTGGGATGGTTTAGTTGGATTGGTCCTGCTTTGGGCAGGGGGTTGGATTCAATGGTTTCCTGGGGTCTCTCCCAACCCTGTGCTTCTATGAATCTATGATATGCTAGTAAATTTAAAGTGCAGCTGGGTGGGGTATAATAGGCCAAGGAAGCAATGGTGCTGCTGCCAACCCGCTGCTGGATAATCTGATGCCCCCCTTTCACAAGACTCTTCCACCCCCAAAGGTCCCTGCTGCTCACCTTGCCCCACCTCGGGATCAGGGAGTGAGGAATAATGCGGAGAACCAGGAATGGCTGCTGGGGCTCAGTGGGGGGTGAGACCAAGGAGCTGGGGCACTGGGACTGGCTTGGTGCTCAGGAGTCAAGAGAGCAGGTCAGTCTGATGTTGGGGGGATTGTGGGGGAGGGGAGCAGCAGCTCCCCCGGCAAGGGGGACCTCTCAGGGCTTTTCCTTTTTTGGGGGCCATTTGGGGCTCTGGCATGGAGGTGGGGCCTTGGGTGGAAGGGGCAGGGCAGCCTGACTTGCCTCTCCAAAGCAGGAGTTCATTTGCCACCCCATGGCAGCTGTGACCAGGAGTGAGAGGCACCAGCAGGGCTGGGATGGCTAGGGCTGTGGTTTGGAGTGAAGCCTGGGCAGGGTTGGCCTTACAGGGAGTTGGGGGGTGAGTTTGGAGGGTATGGGCTGGGCTAGCAGGGAGCTGGGGAGTAGGTTTGGGGGCCATGGGCTGGGTTGGCAGGGGCTGCAGGCTGGATTGAAGGGCACCAGCAGAACAGTTGGGATTGGGTACAACTGGCACATGTCTGTCCAGCTGCAGTTCTGAGCTCTTGCCAAACACGCCCTGGGAACATTCCCAACCACCCCCCAGCTGCCATGTTCCTTGGAACCACATGAGCTCCAGCCTTGCACCTGTCAGGCCCTTGGTGCCAAGCCCCACTCCTTTCCCAGGCCAGGGCAGCTGCTGCCGGTGCCAGAAACTCCCTAGGCGCC